ATGATGATGAAGTAACTGCAAATACCTCCGATGACGATATTATTGACGAGTTTTTACCTGTGGATAAAATTTTTTCGAACGAATTGAATACTTTTTCTGAAGTACCTGCACAAAAGCATGCCCTTCCTCCTGATGCGAAACTAATTGAATATTTCAATAATTTTTTTTTCAAGTATACTAACCAACAGCAGTGTCTTCGCATTCTCGATACAAAACAAGAGAAGCGCTGTCGCGCTGCGCCGTATTTTTGGCATACGTCAAATGAAGCACGCGCCAGACTCAAATGGTTAATTCTCTATTCTTTAAACAGACATAATTTCTTGTTCAGTTACAAAGTTTCACTGTTCAAATCCTGTAATTGCTGTGTCGAGAATACCAACTAACTTGTTAATCGAAATTTTTTCATTTTCAATAACCTCTCTGTCATTTTCTTCAGTAACGGAAGCACGCACGTGTAAACGCTTTACTGGCTTAAGCACATGCGTAAGTTTGTGGCTTTGAGATCCGGATTATAGATCATTCCGGATAATGGATGTCCGGATTACGGACTTGTACTGTATTAGATTTATATATTGCATAATTCTAACATAAATATTTTGACACAAAACAGAACTTTTCTGAATTAACATACCAATTTTTTTTCCATATTTTGATTCTATGGCTCAAATTATGCCTAGATATTAAATTTTGTGTTACTCAGATGGTATAGTGCTTAGGGGAGCTTATTTATGATACTGAAGGGCTCAGATTCGAATCCTAGAGAAGACATGGACGTTTGTAAATGTATAGTGTTGGTGCAGCATGGCGGCACTCTAAATATGCGGTGAGCCGAAAGTCCTTTTGTGTGGATTGGTGGAAGGCGAGAGGGGTGGTAGACCCCGGATTCACCCCGGGGTGCTTTCCCTCAAAATTGTGGATGGAAAGTAGAAGTCCAGCCTTTCTTCAGAGTAGGCTCTGGCAACCATTATTCCATATAATATAAACAAGACAACAACCTAATACAAATTGTAATTTTTGGTGAGAAATTATGGAGAAATGAAAAAATTTATCTTGGAGCATTTTTTTCAGTTTGCACTAAGAATAATTCACTTGGTGAACTTCTTAATTTATAGCAACCTAGTTTTCTTCCCTTTTTTTCATTGTACACGAGTGGAAAAAAAGATCACCGTTTATTACTTTCAAATAATTTTAACAAAGTGTGTAAACCACATTTGGCATTATCATCGCTTATAACAAATATGCCAGATTTCAAAATGCCAATATGCAAATTTGCAGGTGTGCTAAGAAATACATCTACTGTAAGATAATGGTAAAATTTTATAGGTAATAAATTTTATGTTTTTTAATTCAACATTTTTTCAAAAATTTATAAAATTTATTTTAAATACAAATTTTAAAAATAAATAAAAAATGGGCGAATTTTATTTCGAATGAACTTAATACTGAAATGTCAAATGAAGAATCAAGTAAGTTTAATAAAGAAAGAGATATTAAGAAAGATATACCAATTTATATTAAGACGGAAGAGCTGAAATTTTGACAATTTTTTAAAAATTCCTTGAGCAATTTTTACAAAGTTTGGCACTTTGGTGTAATTTAAGTCGTAATGTCGGGAGGGGCGAAGGAGAGAGAGGAAAAAAAAAGTATGTTGTTTCAGATGAAGTCAGATTTTGTATCAAAATACCTATGTTAGAACAATATAATAAATTTAATATATATCCTAAGTCGCGGTTTCGAGACATGGAAAATGAAAGTTAAATTTCAACAAATCGGTCCAGTAGATCGAGAGGTATAACTGTTAACCTTCTTTTTTTTTTTGTATAAGGTGTAAATTTTTTGTAGCCCTGTTTTTGCAACCAAGGAAGCTGAGATGGGCAATCATTTTCTTTTCGTAAAATAAGATGTGAAAGCTTCCGAAATATTTACAATGCCCAAGAGAAGTATAGTATTCCCAAATTTGAAAAAACCTTTACAGGACATTCGATTTGAGAGTTTAACCATACCATAAATAAGTGCTTTAAAATAGTGCCATAAATAAGTTTTTTTTTTTTTTTTTTTTTTCCAAAATTTTCTTTGAAGATGACTTAAAAATTAGTTTTTCCTTGGAATAAGTGTCTCCAATTAAATGGGGATTATGTTGAAATATTATATTGTAATAGTGATGAAAGCCTAGAACTTTTGAAACATCCCTTCTATAGTGTGAAACATGGTACTTTAGTATACATCATTAATCCACCCCAGCTCCTTGGATGTTATACCAAATAAACTTTTCCAGTAACAAACAAGCGAAAATAAATAATCTGTTCTTATAAAAATTTTTGTTGTTATTATTATAACACTGTTTAATACTAAAATAAATATACAGTGATTGAAATATGTACTGTGCATAAATACTGTACTTCACATAATGTTTTTCTGCTATCTAGATTGAAAGAAATTTTTCAGTATGTTCTAACATCTCTGCTCTTTGCTTAATAATGAATTTCTTTCTCTTTGCAATGCTAGCCGATTTAATAGCATTTTTAGTTTACACCCGTGGTTCTGAAACTTTCTTGTTGGGGTGCATTTTTCAGGGTACACATTTCTGAGAAACATGTTATAATAATGAAGTCAAATATTACAGAAAAAAAATGTGATAAAAATAAATTGAAACATATCTAAAGTTTATTCATTCTTGTATTTAGAGAAATGATATAGACAAGCAAAATTTCATTTCCTCGTCAATATATTGAAGAATCCTTCTCTTTTTACACTTAATTGAGATGAGGGTAAAAAATCCTAATTCACACAAATATTATGTTGAAAACTGTAGTAAAATGTTAATTATTTTTTTTAGATGTTGACACATATTCTTCTTTTGTAGAAATCCAAAAGATTTCAAGAGACAATTCCTTAAGTTCAATCGTGACATGATCATTGTATATAGCTGACAGCTTTTCTTCTATTAATGTTAAACCAAAATACTTAAGTTTCCACGAATGGGTTTTTAATTCAATCAATACTTTGTTAAGTGAAAGAGACCAATTTTTCTTCTAAATTTGTTAAATGATTAACTATTAATGAAAGTTTTTCATTTATGCAAATGTTCTGAGTGGAAACATTTCCAAATTAAATTCAACAGCTTTTCTTTCTCAAATATGTAGTTTTCTGTGAAATATTTTCATTTTGTCAGTGGATGTGAAAATATTTTTTCCCCTTTCCCTTGCAAGCTAGTATTCAAAATAATTAGCTGTTGATGTATATTGGGCAAATACTGGAACTGGTAATCAAAATCAGCACCAACAGAGGTTACATAAATGTAAACGTTTTATCTCTTCAAAAAACACAAGAAATTCTTGTTGTAGCTTGTGTACACTGGCAAGCATTTTCCCCTTGACAGTCAGTTCACCTCAGAGTGTAAAAGCAACTATTGTGAAACAATACTGATGCAAAGCTTTTCTAATAAACACGATTTGACAAGTCTTATTTTAATAAAGTTTACCAACTGAAAAACTTATCTAAAAATTTTCTTTATTTTTGTCCCTGTGTTTTTGCTTTCATGGTCTCCCTGTGGAGAAAACATTGAGTTATGATAACACATTTAACATAACTCTCATTTTGTTTTACATTTCCTTGCACAAAGTGAAGAAAAATTTCAACGGAAATATCCATTTTGACTATTCCTGAATCCATTTAGACAATTTTTTTGCATGACAGTATGACATCTGTACATACAGAATAAAGGACTCTTTTTTTCCAAAACAGATTGTAAAATGGATTTTTTATGATGTATATACATATGTATGTATTTCACATAAATCATGAATAGCCATAGAATGGTGAAATTTTGTAAATGAAATTTCTGCAACATCTAGCTGTACTCCTCCCTTTTATTGCAATCAGCAATACCAAAGAAATGTGGGAATATATTGTTATTATTATTATTTTTTTTTTTCCTTACACCAGTTGTTGCGTTATTTTTTCCTTCACGTTTGTACGGGGTTTTACATTTGGAGTGAATAACGACGACATTTGATGAAGTATCGAAACACACTTTATTTAGCCAATATTAATCAGAACAGCTCCAACAACACTTTTTACAGTCATCGAAGATCTACTATAAACACGCTGGAACAATCAGAGACACAGCCTTCACACTGTCAGGCAATAACGGTGGAGACAGCTTTCTGCAAAGCACCAGAGTATAACTCCTGACTCTGCTTGGTCGTTCTCGAAACTCCCCGTACTCTCGAGACTCTCCACGCTACAACTCGCGATGCACTTGATAACACTGAACATAGCTCCGATCTTCGGTTCAGTAATTCCGGAGCTCAACAGCTTCTCGAAGCTGCACTAACTTGATACACTACGACTCCTCGGTTGCACTCGATGACCCACTCGGCACCGCTGCCGGCTGCAACTCGATCGACTCCGCACGGACGACCCTAGAACGACACTCTACACTTCTGCGGACCAGCATTTTAAGCTTTCGGCTTGTGTTCGAGAACATTCTGAGCTAAACCGATAAGAATTCGTTCCAGAAGGTTCTTCATCTGTCCATGGTATATTGCTAATTTTGTCGCCAAATGGGAGATTTTTCACCAAATGTGGAAACCCTATCTTCCCTTGCCATTTTATGGCAACCCTAAAACTGCTTTGCGGGGAAGCCATCTCACCACGTCTGCACATTTCGTAACAATATAATATATACCTACTCCCTTACCCAGCCTTTATTTTTGCAATCATTTTTCCGAATCACATACTTTCAATTTATAAATAATTAAATGAGAAAAATATTCATGTTTGGAAAATATCAAATTTAAAAAAAAATTAATTTTTGATAGATAACGAAATCTAACTTTTAATGTCATCTCATAGTTACTGTAGTCAGGAAAGTTTTATACTTGTTATGATAATATAAAATTATAAGAAGTTTGACTATCATATGACAAAAATTAACCGAGATACTTAATTTCAAATAATTAATTCAAAATTTGTGATTTTTGATGTCATTTTTAACTTACTTTGAAGAAAAAGTTAATTAAGTTAGAAAAATTCAAGAAAATGAGCTTAACCTTTTGAGTGCCCAATTACGATATATTTGATGCTCACAAAACTTGTGAAAAGTGCTAACGGAGTGTCTGATAATGCCTTACTGTTTGCACTGCATGAGAATTTTATCTTAAAATAAATTTATAACATGTTATAAATGGTCTAAATTCCTGGCAAAAGAATTGAAAATAAATTCATTGCAAAAGAATTAATACGGTTTATATTGACATTATTTATTCACATGATTTTCAATAAATATTGAAATACAATTGGCATTACTTTATTCTTTCATTATTCCGTAGTATGTTGCTTTTTGAATTTAATAAATATCATTGTTTGGTTCTTAGAAGCTTTTTTCTATACCTTAGAAAATTCATCAAACTAGCCCATTATTCTTTGCACAAGGACTTTAGCTCGGCACTTAAAGGGTTAAATAAAGTGCAGCAAAAAATGTGTATAATTTAATAGGTCGTTCAAGGAAGTCGTGGTATCCACAACAGATTTTTTACAAAAGATAATACGGCCCTTAGCACAGCCTACCATAGAAAAGTTTTATCCGTACTAATGCCTACACATGACTTCCATGTTACCTCCCACTTATCAAGATAGGCATTCAAAATATTTAAAATGTCCTCACGTTTTGTACATACACTTAATTCTTTAAAAAAAAAAAAAAAAAAAAAAGGAGAAGGTTTACAATTTGATTTTTATTGATAAAACAAACACATGCTAAGAGTTGTGCTTTATCGGTAGTGTGTGTTGACTCAGCAAGCTGCAAGAGAAAATTTGAATACTGGTGTTTATTACTGAAAACATTTTCCTCAATATCAGAAGACATTTCTATTATATGCCTGTGAACTTCTATTATATGCCTGTGTACTATTGTACAGAGGAATCTTACTTTAATTTCATTACTGCTTCATTTTCTAACATTTCTATGACCATTGTTTTGTATGCAGGGAAAATAAATGATTCACTTAAAATATGAGCTTTCATATTTTTTCTATCAGTTCTAGACTCACTAAGAAGCATTACCAAAAACAAAAGAACTCTTGAAGAAACTTGGATTTCTTTTGGAAATTACAATGCATAGTTTTAAAATGTTTGGAATTTACTAGGAAATAGTGATTTTTTTGCCATTTTACATCAACATAAAGAACACAACAGCAAAGGACGAGCCTCACTTCCAGTCTAAGTGAAATCAAAGTTTAAATAACCTCTATTATTTGGGTTAAAATAACATGCCAAATAATGGTTATTGGAGAATCAAGCAATAAGAATCAGCACTATATTTCTTAAGTTTTCAGGACTGTAGTTAAACCATCGAAATTAGTCCAGCAAAATTTAAAAATAAAAAGCTGATTCTTCTTGTTTGATTCTTCAATAACTTCAATTATACTACTTGCAAGTAGCTTGCAATTTTGCCATATGTAACAACAACAGGTTGCAATTTTGCTCATTTCCAGAGTCTGATTTTTCAATATCATGCTTTTTTTAGAGAAGACTATCCATTTCATTTGAGTATATTTACCTGAACACAAGTAATATGTGCATAAAATCCACTTCCAATACTTTTAAAATAAGTAATATTCCACATCCACTGCCAGCAGATCACATATATATACTGATTGTCAACTCAAGTCTATGGTACAAACAGTAAAAAGGGATTATTACAGGAGTATGGTGTTGGCGTACTGAACTAAATTACTGTTTGAGCAAAGCCTGTAGAGTCATTCAACCTAAGTTCTCTACATGTGTTTGCAAAGGCTTGATTGTAGACCAGATGGCTGTGCTGGAATTAAACCAGAAAAATGCACTTCCAGTCTTTTGTGTTTCAAGTAATCATGATGTCATTCTATTTTATTAGCCAAATGCTTATTTATTCATTTTCCTTGATCTGAGTTTGAGAACACCTTCTGCCAATGAGAAAAATAGTTTGATTTGAGATGTTCTTCTGCCAATACTAATATTAGCATATATATTATTTATGACTTCAGTAAATGAGGTATTATAATGAAATTTATGAGACACTGAGAAAATTTATGATTTCCTTCCAAAAATAGTCCAGCATATGTGATTTTATGTCATAGTTTCTTATTGTCATTGAATAAATGTCTGCATCTTGAAATTTTGCTGTTCTTGTATCTTTTGGTCCAACATCACAGGCAGTCTGAAGTTTTTGAAAAGAGGTATAAACTTAATCGGCTGCTCTATGAAACAAAAATTAATGTTAATTAATATAATAATGATGTGTTGCCAAAAACAGCAGTATATCCATTATAAAATGGCATAATACAGTAACTATAAGTATTTTTATACCTGGATATATATTTTTCTGGAATACCACAGGGTATACCCACAATATTCTGGGTATACCCTGTGGTCCTTTGAAAGTCCTTTGGTACTAGCGCGTCCTTTGAAAACTGCTGTTTAAGACAATCATAGATACCACTGTACTCAGTATACAAGGCAATAGCGAAATATTGGATATGCATGCCATCATCATACTTTCAATAATTTTTTTTCATCTCACTAGTGATGCTAACAACTTTCTTCATTTATACACCTTCTCATAAACTTTCGTAAAACTTGTTGTAAACAAAAATTACAAAATAAAATAAAAAATAAAAACCCACAAAATCATTTGAAAATTCAGAGCTACAGTACAGGTTGTTCACCGAATAGCAGCAACAGGCATATTCACACTCACGGGCAGTCACAGCATTGTCTCGAAACAGGTGAACAAGTATAGTGTGCACAGTCATGATTCATCAAACACGAGTTATATTCCAAACAAGTGTGGCATACCAAACAAAAATTCTTTCTTCTAAGGGGCATGTATTTCAAAGCAGACTTAGATACCACTGTATTTACTTCCTTAAATCTTTTAAACCACCAAAACTTAAGCATTTAAAAAACAAGAACTGAACTAAAAGAAAGTGAATTTCATTTTTTGTACCAAAAAGCAATATTAAGAAAAAGAGGTAAAAAAGCTGAGGTTATAATTTTGAAAACCGTATTATTTCTTCCTGGGCTACTTGATGTCTTCGCCCATATGACAGGTGCAAATCGGATGTTTGTTGAAAAGTTACTACATGCAGTATTTTTAATGTGCAGTAAGGAAATGTAATGCAGCTATTGTCTTCCCTGTCTATTCTTTCACAGCTACAAAGTAAAAGAGAAGACAAAATAAAACGTCATTCTACATGTTTAAAAAAGGAACTGCTAAAACTGAAAAGTTAAGTATTGTTTAGTAAAAAAAGCAAATTATAAGTTTAAAAAAAATTGCTATTTACAAGACAGAAAGTGATAAAAAATACAAAACAAAATTCCAGAGAGGACACACACACACACACACAAAACAAACAAACAAAAAAAAAAAAAAAAAAAAAAAAAAAAAAAAAAAAAAAAAAAAAAAAATCCTGTATAGGTTATTTTACGATAAAACCAAAAGTACATTTTTTAAGGCTCATTTTTGACACCCACATATTATCAAAAACTGTCAAACTGACTAACTTTTCTAAAGCAAAATTCTAAAAATGTGCATTCTTTGAGTCCAAATTAAAATCTTGATGTAGTATACTGCATGCCAATTTAGACCAAAATTATATTAGCCCAGAAGAACATACCATTCATAAATAAGTGTTTTAAGAAAGATACGTCTTAAAATTCAGGAAAATTAAAAAAGTACCTGTTCAAATTTGCAGCGCCCGACCACGTATGTGAGAAACCCGAAGATGAGAAGCTGCTACTGAGCCCTAATTCAGGACTCAAATGGAAGTCACCTACAATAAAACATTATATCAAATTACATTAAGTGCTTTTATGGTGCAAAGTAAGTTTTAAAAAATGGGAGGCACTTAATTAGATAAGAAAAAAGTCTGATTACTTAACCCTTTATTGTATAACTTTTAAATTTCAAAATAAAACTCATTTCTCGCATAACAATCTCATATATACCATATTTATTTGCATTCCCCTCCTACACTAATTTTATTGCCTCAAAGTCAACAAGGGAACATTTGTGTGTACAATTCCCAAGAAAAAAGATTATATTATTAGAAAAAATGCTATTCCAGCTAAGGAAATTAACCGTTAGCCCACTTTCCCTCAACACTGTATCACGCAGGAAAATGCCTAGAAACTCAGTTGAATTCTAGGGCTCTTTAAACTCTCCCCATAAATCTTGCTAGGCTGATCCAATCCCAGGAAAGTCTGCTTTCTCAACTTTCTACGGACAGTAAGATGGAATGGTAAAACTCTGGTCATTGCTTTGCTGTTCACCTGTAAAGATCTTTACTAGATACCCATTTTGCAGGTACATCACCCTTCCCCATAGCCTAAACCTTCTGAATACAGATCTTAACAACAGCACAATAAAAGATTTCAGAAATCAGATTAAGTAATTTTTTTTTTCCAGTTATATAAATTAAATCTGAGGATATTACTCTTGCTATAGCCTAAAACGATAAGTTGAAAAGGAAGGAGAAAAATTATAGAATATGTCTTCAGTATCCATACAATGTATATCTGTGAAATGTATGTTAGTTAATTACAAGCAGAAAAAATGGCAATAAAAGAAATCATTTCTGGAATCAAATTTGATGTGATAAATGTTTTTTTCTCTTAAATAAATAGTTTTGAATAAATAATTTAAAAACAACCTATGAATACAATAATATTGTAACATAAAATTAAACAACTGAAATTACAAATAACAGTCACATTCATGTATATTACTTGCTGTTTTATTTATATTAATGAATATTTAAAAATGACTACCTCCTCCTGCCCCCACAAGAAAAAAGAATGAAGTTATGATAAAATATAGCTTTGTATTATTTCAAATTCTAAAATAAATGAAAATTTCAAGTGCTAAACTTATTTCTAATTAGTATTCTTGAAAGTTTTATTTTCAAATGCAATAAGTTTACATACTTGAATTAAAAGAAAGATTGGACGGATAACTGGACACATTGTTGGGTGTAGACACAGAAACAATCGGTGTAGTGCCAAGAGAAGTACGGCAGTTCTAAACATAAAGAATATGCATAACTTAAAAATAAACTTATTATTAACTGGTAATTCAGTTCACAATAATTTATAATAACATTTTTATTAGTTAATGATAAAATTGTAAATTGGAATGAATACTTCAGTTAATCCCGTTTTTTATGAAATACAAATTTTCTCAGCAATAAAAATTATTTTTAATCAATAAAAACATACAAAGGGAAACTATTTTTTTTAAATAATAAAAAATTTTAAATGGTATCTAATCAATATCTAAAAATGCAGTAATTAATTTTTAAATACACATTTAAAAAATATTCGTCTTCGTAAATAAAATAGTACTATAATTAATTTTGTGTAATTGTTAACAACAGTGGCTGATTTTACATCAAAATTTTCCATAAGTCACATTTTTTTTTTCTTTTTTTGGTGTGTGTGTGTGTATGTTTTCAAGAAAATCATCCTTTTACTGTGCAAAACTGGAAAAATTGCACACATTGCAAAGGTATTATATGTGCTTGCTAAAAAGGCAACAAAAGTCATTTTTCTATGTAACATTTTTGAAAAGAACATAAGTTAGTTTATTTATTAATTTACTGCAGGCATAACTAGAATAAATGATTGGCAAACTCTTAAATCTTCTTTACTGAAGCACGTGAAACTCTATTAGTGTTAAAACACCATTTATTGATGCAAAAAATAGCCTCATTGTTATTTTGAATTCAGTGGCTGATCCAAGTCAGATGCATAGCATTGCCTGATGGTTACAGAACTTGAAGACGACATTTTTAGACATATCTGATCGAAAAATTAACTTTTTTCCTTTCATTAACTTCTTTCATATTATCTAGCAATAAATTTCATAAATTATTCAGGGCACAAGAAACAAAATATTAAACCAAGTTATACGAAAACTAAAAAAATAGGAATACGAGAAAATATGAAGAAACATGTTGAAAATTAGGTTCGAAGGAACAGGCCTGAAAATCAAGTCTCCTGCCTATATTGAAAGATGTGCTTTACATATATTGCTGCAAATAAGTTGAATCAGTATAACCAAATTAAAATAATAATTTATTTAGGATTAACAAACTTTAAAAAAATCAAATATTAAAAGACTAACTCCTTGACCCATAGTGGTCGCGGCCTGAAACAACTAATTTTCAAATTTTCCCAATCTCTACTTTCCAGAGTTTTTGAGTGAAAATCGATTGTTACGATTAAATAACACAAAATGTCAGCAGAAATATAAATTTTTTAGTACTTCAAATCGGATGCCTTTTAAAAATAATTTCCTTTTATTAACATAAACAACTTTATATTTCAAAAGTTACTGATTGCACATCATCATTTCTATCATGAACAATAGAAATATAGCAATAATTAAACTGCATATATAAACAATCCGTGCATATTTACGGCTTTTACTTTGTAGTTTCAAAACAAGACCACCACGCCTCTGGAGCATTGTAGGCTCAGTGGTCACGTTCTGAAACCAGAGCTCTTCACTTCAAATAGGAATGTTTATTTTTACCAGGATTTAGATAAGGGGCTGTGAAACCACACAGTTATTTTATTACTAAACAATAAATGCACCTGCCCAGAGAAAATGTCTTACACTTTCAGAGAATTTTCTCCGAGCTCAACACGCTTGTTTCCTATGCTAGTATTGTGATTTTATAAATTATTTTGTGTAGTTCAAATATAATATAAATATATTTTGCTTTAATTAAAAATAGAAATCTAAATATATTTTGCTTTAATTAAAAATAGAAATCACATAAAAGTTTTATTTAAATTAAAAGTATTTTATAAATACTTTGGGATGAAATAGGGATAAACTAAATACGAATGGGAAACGAAAGGTTTGTAGGAAATCCAAAAAACTCAAGCCCTATCCCATTAACATAAAGAACCGCAAACTTAATATTCCAGATAAAGTAAGATAAAAGAAAGATGGACATATGCCAGTAAAATGCAAATCCTGGCTGTGTACATTTTGAATCACAAGGGAGAAGCCTCAAAGAACCAGATACAGGTGCAAAACATGCAATGTTGGTGTATGTATGTATCAAAATGACAAAACATGGTTTGAACAGTTTCATGAAAAATCCTTGTTCTTTGACATTAAATAAAAAAACACCTAGTTTTTTTATCCTTACTTTACTGAGTTTCTTTTAAACCCTTTACCCAAATGTGCTTATTACACAGGTTACATGTTTTCACTGCTATAAAAAATGACATACATGTCTATTTTTTCATACGACTTACTTTGTAAAATAATGTAAAAAATTTACACATAATGCAATTCTTAAATAAAATTTTTTAAAAAATCGCAAATCTCGTCATTCATTAAAAATGCACAGTCCCGCCCTCCACTATCTCAGTAAGTTTCAAAGTCTTAGATAGGTGCTGGTTTCAAAGGTGACCACCAACCACAGATCATTGGCCAAGACTACATTTCTTTAATTCATATATTATTTATCTCTTATATTTCATTTCTAGAGTTTTTTATGTTAAAATATTATAAAAATAATATTGCGTGCATCAAAGGATTAACAAGTTGAACTAGAACAAGCAGCTGCACTTTGTATTCAAATATACGTACACAAGTTATTTCACAAAGATGGATACACGTAAAATACTGATCTTTGATACGTAAAATGTTTTAAATTAACGAAATGAAAATAGCTTCAATACTGTCAGTGAAAAAAATCTATAAAATTTAAACCTAATTTTTTCATATAACTCTACAAAGGAAAATTTTTAATAAATAAAATTTTCATATCTTTTAATACTGTATACTTACTTTCAAATATAAGCTAAGATTTTGCTGCATCATGGCAGTAAATGACTGATAAATTACAAATCATTCAAAATCAATTCTGATCTAACATAATACCAATTTCTAAGGAAAATGTAAGTCCGATTTCATGATAGCAGAAATTACAAAATTTATAAAACAAAAATTTAAGTTAGCACATGCTTTCTTTATGGATTTTATAATTTTCCATTACAGTTGTTTCCCACATCATCATGTTCTAATAAGGTATTAATACTTATGAATATAAATATTATGTCATGCAAATGTTATTAAAAGGTTTAAATTATAAAAATGAAATAAATAATTTTACAAAAGATATGGTCAGTAAATACTGTTTTTAAAAATTTTAAACAAAAAGGTTCAGAGTTTATAATCAAAAGAGCATAATCTCACATTATAAGCAGTGAAAAATTAATTATTCCAAGTTTGAGCTCAATTTCCAATTGGTAATTAAACTGTTTAAAGCCTTATGCTTTGATATTCCCAAAATTAATACTCACTACAGGTGAAGGAGAATGAGGGGCATTAGGTATGATGACATGAAAATTTGATCTGGAAGGTGAAGGCTGCCTACTGTGCCTTCCATCCACACTCCCATCAGGAGAAATGCTACCCGGAAGAGAACACGGAGAGCTACCCCTCTGGTAGCCATTGCTACCTCGACTCACGTCCAATAAATTGCCTTAAGAAACATAACACACATTAGTGAGAAATTTAAATTTCCTAAAACATTTTTCATATATCATGTTAATTTATGTAATGAATCTATCACTTTATCAGAAGATCATAAAATTCTTAAGTTGTGAACTTAGATTATACTGCAAGATTAGATTATACTATGTATACTATCTGTCTGATAGTTTCTGAACTGTATAACATAAATTTTCAGCTACAACTTTTCTTTCAGCATGTTCTTGTTTACAAAAGATGGTTGGCCAGAGGAGGCATCGTCTTTGAGACTGAAACTTGCATGCTTCTCAAATCACCTTCGAATTGTGTCATCAGAAATATTAGTTTGCCCTGACACAGGACACACTGTACAAGCAGTTAGATTAGCACATTTTTTTTTTAAATAAAAGAGTATAATATAAAAAAATAATTTTAGGGTTTTAAATTCTTAGCATTTTACTGAAACAAAAAATTAAGACACAGCACATGCTGGAATTATGCAACATGAGCCGAAAAGACTACATTCAAGCACCTGCTTGCATCAAGGTCACTTTCTATACAAAGTAACAAAATAATTAGAAAAAAAAAACATGCTTAGATTGAAAAACTACACAGTTTCAGGATGATCTATACTATTATCTTTAGCTAGGATGTCAGTTTTCTCAGTTCCAGGAACATTATAGTAAGGTATGTCTGAGGCAAGAGCCAAAACTGAATTCTAAGAATCTGTGGAAGGACAGCTTTTTTAAGGGTTGTATTTACCATGCTTTTAAAAGTGTGTGTTACAGTCTCAAATTCCATAGCATGAATCTTTAAAGTGTTTCTAATGTTGAAGTTTACTACCAATCAGTGTAATGTTAAGTCCACCTTTACTTGAGTTTACTTGTGGATCATTTCTGAAAGTATAGATTAAACTCAGTGTTGTTATTTTATACCTCAGAATGTTACGAGATGCAATGATTAATATGATTTACTTTTTCTTTATTAGCTTGTGTTTGCCTCTCAGAGAGTTAAATGAAGTAATCTATGTTTTTGGGCAATCTGCCAACTTTAGAACTTCAGTTATATATCAGTCATAATATTGATCACTGTATGAATGCTTACCTTTTCCATTCTCCTAATAAATGCCTGCTACGAAGGTATAATTTAATTTATTTTATATAATAGGTTATGGGCACCAGTAACTAGCAGAAGCCTTTCATAAAGGCGTTTAGTAATATTTTGAATCAGCATTTTGGATTAAAATTTATGAACAGTGATTACTTTAGTTTTCTTCTTTCGTCTTTAATGAATATGTAATGGCAGTTATGGATCTAAACAGCATCTGCGTGAACAGCTGAATGACCAAATTACTATACTTGGAAATTAAAACTGGAACTCTTACTGATTAAGATTTATGGGATGTTATTATTACAGAACCTCCATCTCCAGTAATTGTAAAGTGGGTTTTGAAAGACAGAAAGCTAGAGCAACTATAGGACTTTTATTGGAATATGACCAAATAGGACATATTAGACATTGTACAACTGCGAAAGAGGCATGGATATTTTCAAACAGTATCATGAGAAGTCAACACTGTCCCGAAAGGTTGGGCTTTTGAAAAAGCTATGTAATTTGCAGTACAACAATAAAGAACAAATGAGCAATCATCAAATGAAAATGGAAGCTACTGTGGATCTACTAGTAGCATTAGGTGAGAAAATTTCAGAACCTTTATTCGCTGCATTTATTTTAAGTAGCTTACCTGAAAATTATGCTACGTTAATAACAGCTTTAGAAACACAACCAGAAGCAGATTTTACTGTTGAATTGGTTAAAAATGAATTGTCGGAAGAGTATACTCGTCAAAACGAAAATAAAGAACCTAGTACAGGAAGCGAGAATAAAGCTTTGAAGTCATGTTCTTCTTTAATGTGTAATACTCCAACTGATAAAAATAAAGTACCTAATTGTTTCTTTTGTAAGAAATTACGGCATTTAAAGGATAACTGCAGGAAATATGTGAAATTGGAAGCTTAAGCATAATCAAAAGCAACAAGGCAATGAAAACTATGAATTCAAGTGACATTAATGAAGTGAAACAAGTTTCTAATCACCATTGCTTTACAAGTGCGAATAATTTACATGCTTACTGGTGTATCAATTCTGGAGCCACCACTCATAGGTGCAATGATAAAACTCTGTTCAGCAGTTTCGATAGTAATTCTGTTCCTGAGCAAATAACTTTAGCTAACGGATATACAGTGCTTAGTCAGAGAAAAGGCAATTGTTTGGTAAAATATCAGAATAAGCAAAATGAGGAAATATAGATTATGATCAAAGATGTGCTTTTTGTTCCACAGCTATCTGGAAATTTATTATCCATAAAGAAGCTAACTTATAATGGATACAAAGTGAACTTTAAAGGTGCAGAATGCCATATTGTGAACTATGATAATATAATAGCTTTCGGCTATGTCAGAGAAAGTTTGTTTGTACTTAAGGAAAGTGAGCATGCTCTTTGTACGACACAATCCCGACAATATTTTATTTTAAGGATGTGTAATGAATCTATGGCTTGAAGGTGTGAATATTGTTCCCTGTTCTACTGCATTGACATGTAAGGATTGTATTGCTACCAAAGCATGCAAAGAAACATTTCTGAGAAAGTTTACTTCGTGAACCTGCGAGATACTCGATTTAGTGATACAGATCTTTGTGGACCAATGTAAAATGTAATTCCAAGTGGTGCAAGATATATACTAACAGTAATTGATGATTATAGTAGATACACTATAGTTTACCTTTTGAAGATAAAGAAGAAACTAAACAAGTATAACACAGTTTCGGAAAGCACCAAAACGACTGAGATCAGATCAAGAAGGGGAATATACAAGCAGCGACTTTGAAAAATTGCTGAAAGAAAATAGAATAATACATGAGAAAACTGCTCCCTATTCTCCGCAACAAAATGGAATCACTGAAAGAAAGAATCGTACATTAATTGAGATGACAAGGGCAACACTAAAAAGCTCTAATCTTCCAAACAAGTACTGGGGCGAAGGTATTATTACAGCAAACTACCTTCAAAACGGTTGGCTGACGAGAGTACTAAGTTACATTTATGAAAAATGGCCATAAAGGAAATCATCATTAGCACATGTACAAGCATATGTGCATATACCGAAAGAGAAGAGACAAAATTGACGACAGTCTGTTAAGCGAATCATGGTTGGATATGAAGAAGGAACAAAAGGTTATCGTTTGCTGGATACAAATACCGACACTATTGTAATTAGTCGGGATGTGACATTTATACCAAAAGATCCCCATCCTAAGGATAAACAGGAGGATACAGAAGATTTAACTATTTTTAAAAATAATTAAGAAAAGGAGTATTTCTCTGATAATATAGAACTAAGGCAATCTCACAGACAAAACAAAATTGTACCGCCTGTGAGAAATAATATTAGTTCACTCTCAGCACAGTCAGAGGAAGCAGCAGATCCAACATCATATTATGAAGCATTTTCAGGTGCCAATAAGAAAAAAGGAAACAAGCCATGCAAGAAGAGATTAATGCTTTCAAAACGAATGGCACATGGATTTTGACAAATGCACCTGAAGGGAAAACCATTATAGGCTGCAAATGGATATAAAAGTCCAAACGAGATTGTGAAGGAAAAGTATTTCATTATAAAGCTAGACTAGTTGCTCAAGGATACCAGCAGAAATATGGTCATGACTATGATGAAGTGCTTGCTCTGGTAGCCAAGCCAACTACTTTGAGAATGCTTCTTACCATAGCAGGCAAAAGAAAAATGGTAGTAAGACATTATGATATCCAATCAGCATACTTAAATGGAGATTCATCTCATGATATATACATGAAACAACCTGCCAGATTTGAAGAAGGTGATAAAGTTTGTAAGCTTGTAAAGAATAGACTCAAGCAGTGGGCAAATGAATGGAACAAACTTAATTAAATTCTCTTAAGGAAAGGATTTCAACAAAGTCAAAATGACCCATGTTTATATATAAGAAAGGATAAAGAAGGGTTTGTATACATAACTGTACATGTGGATGATATGGTTGTTGCAGCAAGAACAGAGGATACACTTGAAAATTTTGAAAGCGAAATTGGTGAACATTTCTAAGTGAAAATCTTGGGAAATCTTCATTATTATTAAGGAATGCGTTTTCAACGAGATGACGAGAAAATCTTCTACCTAAACCAGTCAAGCTACATTTCGAGAAAGTTGAAACAGTATCACATGAACGATTGTAAAACATCCACGTTTCTTATTGATCCAGGATATTAAAAGCAAAGGAATGATGCAAAAGCTTACAAGTAAAGTTGAGAAACATAAAAGTGCAATAAGATAGCCATTAGGGATACACAAACTTAAACCTTTTAGGCAAAACTTTGGATCATGTTACAGGTGCAATTTTATGTTATGTATTGATTTATTGTTTTCCTGCACCTTAGGGTAAGCTATTTTATTTTATTAAGGATTAATCATTGAGAAGGGATGTTGTTATTTTATACCTCCGAATGTCAGGAGATGCAATGATTAATATGATTTCCTTTTTCTTTATTAGCTTGTGTTCCCCTCTCAGAGCATTAAATGATGTAATCTATGTTTTGGGGAATCTTTATTTTATATAACACTCAGAACTTCCTGAATGGCTTTATATCTCTTTTCAGAAGTGTCTATTATAAGGTAATAATACACAAATCTATGTCCAGATAAAAATGCATTTATGTGAATTTGAATATTTACATGCATTAAACAAGAAACTTTATAATGAGAGAATACCATTTTAAGACTCGTAATATGTTACAAAATGAATGAAAACTGAAAATAAATAGAAACTAGACACAATGTAAATGATGGCTTATATAAACTACTTATTTATCTTAATGAAATTAGTTCTATTTTAGCTCACATTCTTCACAAGCTATGGTTATAAAAATCTGCTATTTTAGCACTAAAGAAGATATTGTAGAATTATCAAGCCAGATGAGCAAAACTTAACACTTACTGTGAAGTTAAACCTCTACCTGATTATTATCTTTACTTTGATGTAATTTAGTAAATCGCGATTGGCAACAGTTGAGTTTTTTTCATCTACGTTTTTGAGTTTGTTCTATTGTTTACTTTTGTTTTAAGTAATGAGAATAATGACTTTTTGAGATGTTTTTCATGAGTATTTAAAAACTGATGAGTAATATTTTATGCCAGTTATGTTCGAGTATTGCTTTGAGGTGTCAAGCTAAAACTAACACTTAATTAGACTTGTCAAGAGAATTGTAATATTAAACTGTTTGTGTTGTGACGAGATGTCTTTCATTGGATGATTGATTGTATACTAATTTTCCATCATAATTCTTCTGATATCGAAGGTAAAACGGGATACTTACTACAGGAGGCTGGCTGGGGACTGACTGAAGATGGACCGTGCTCAAGCACTGTGGGTTCTGGTGTATAACTCACTGTGACTGGCAGTGGTGATAACTCTGAAGAAACGGATGATCCTTGAGGACACTGCAAGACAAAATGTATATTTTCATTGCATTAAATATGGCATTAAGACGGAATCACACAAATGAATATATATATAAAAGAATACTTTTGAAAACAAAATATAAACATGCCTAGTATTTTTGTGCATTAAGCTGCAGAAAAATTATCATTGAACACATAGAGCAAGAAAGTTAGAATTACTATTTCACAAAGACCAAAAATTGAAATTCATAATTAATAAGTTTCAAATAATCTTATAAATGCAAAATATAATTTTAAAAAAGTTAAAAACCAAAACTTTTCAAACAAGAAAAACCAAACCCCATTTATAAAAATTATTGAAATTTAAAGAAAAATGAACAAAAACAGAAGAGGAATTCAGTCAACTTCAATGCTACTTTATCATGGGGGGAGGAACATTGAAATCAACTGATACCTCCCTCCTACAAAAATCCTTGCTTTTCTGTATCCAGTATTAGCCAACGAACCATTTCAATATATTTTAATTATAATAGTTAATCCGAAAATTCTGGACCTTCCCAAAGCAAGGGGAAAACAAAATAAATTCTAATTAGAATAACCTTAAAGAAAGAGAATTCTATTTTATTAGAAGAACAAACGGAAAATATACAAAAGCATGCGTGTATAATTTCACATTACAAGGATAGATACAGCTTTTAACATTAAGGCATTTGTGATATTTTTTTGAAACATCAATGTTTTAACGTTTGGGTCAAAATATTGTTATATATTTATAAATCTATATGCTGATGCTGTAATTAATATCCACGTTAAAAACACTTTTGCAAGCAATTGCACTAAATATTAGATTGAAACATTCAAAGCAGTTTATTTACTTTTGCATTTTTGTTGCTTTTTAAAAGGAAAATTCTTCTAACTCTGAAGATACTATTTCACAAAATGTTTAACAGCTTTAGATTATAATATTTTAAATTTTAAAAATTTTGTTTAGTATTTAACCTTCTGAGAGTTATGACCGGCTATACCCGGTCATCAGAAGTTTTGCTACTTGGAATATATTAACTTATAATTTAAGATATTTTACTTTCTTTAATAATGTAAATATCATCTTAATGTAAGTTTATGAAAATACAGACTAAAATAAATAATTATACAATCTCAATTAATAAATGCTATTTAAATACCGGTCTTCATGATGGATCTAAAATCCTGTGTCGCTCAGAGGGTTAAAACTGTTTTTAAAATCCTGAGAATTGAAACTATCACAAATTATATGTATGTATGCAATGTAAAAGAAATAAGAAAAAGTATTAAGGTTAGGATTATGTAAAAAAATGTTAACATTAAATGGCTTTAAATACAATATTCAGTGACTGACAATTAGCGAGATATTATAGAATTCAAGATACAATATAGTTAAAAATTTTTTATCAGACTAATTTTAAAATTTATCTGATAATGTTTTTTTTTAAATTTAAAAATCTTAGCATTTTAGAAACAATATATAATTCATAATAATTTTCATTCTTCAGAAACTAAAACTTGCAAGCTGAAGAATTTTTTTTTTTTTTTTTTTAAATGAAAAAAAGCTGGAATACTTTCTTCCTCAACTGTATTTTAGGAAGGTGTTTACACAATCTACTTTACTTACACAATCAACAGATGGAGAAATTTAAAAAATGCAGCAGAATATTTTAGTACACATAACAAAATGAAGCAGTGTATTTAAAAAAAATTACAGCATTTTAAGAACATATGATGAATTAGTTTCGATATGTAATTTGATGATATATTTTAAAACCTAAATTTTAAATATTTAAATTCAGAACATTATTACTGTGAATCTTTTTTAATGAGATATAAAACAGAAAAGAAATTTGAAATATTAATTTTAGTTAAGAATGGATCTTAGTACTGTGATTGGAATTAATTCATATTAAGCAAAATAAAAACATTTACACAGAGCACATTTTAGCATTTATCCCTTCCTTTAGGCACAAACTTTAATACATAATATATTTCTTTGAACATTCTGAAGCAATCTGTACAATAATCACAATTTATAAAGTTACTTTATAGCTTATATTGTGATTATTGCACAATACTTTATAATCAACATAGAAAAATATATACTATTATTACATGATACTTTAATGATTCAATTGCACACTTCACAAATAAGACTGTAGAATTTTCTTAAGATTATTTCTCATACTGTATTATTCCTAAATTGCAGTCACATAAATTTGAATTACACATACACACACCTGCATAGTACAATAATCATTTGTACTCTGAAAATTGTTCTATTAAAAAGGGTATTCTTATATTTGGTATTTTTAAGATTGAATTTATAAATGCATAAAAAATATCCAATAATTTAAAATAACATACACACTTAAAGATTTAACATATTTATTATAATTATTTGTTACTTGAAATTAAATATTAACAGTATTATAACTACAATTTTATTACAGTTCGACCGTCTCAAATACAACCTTGGCTGGCATTCTGCCAAAACACAGACTCAACCAAAAGGGAGGTTACTACTTCCTGAAACGTGAAAGGTCATGCGAAAGTCTTCCTCTTCTCCCGAAAGAGAGAATGGAGGGGAGAAAAGTCCCCATTCTTCTACCCTATTTTGAGAATAATTTAGTCCGAATGGCGCATGCGTGAAGCGCTCATGGTTGCAGATGAGGCGGTCGAACTATACTACAATAATTTTCTAAGGTTTTACTCATTATAAATGTACTGATGTTCCCCACCTTATGAACTTTTGCAAATGTGAACAAACTTATTCTGAAAGAATGAAATTTATTTGGAGTTGAAAAGAGTTTGAAGCCTAACTTGGGAAACCAAGAGCCAAATTCTGAGAGGTTTGCTAAAGTAAAATTTACTGTGCATGATACCTTACATTGGTACTGTCTGATTTATGACAAAAGAAAAAGAAAATTTTTCAAGCAATTTTAGATACTTACTTTCTTAAACACATGTCAGAAATTGGTATTTAACAAACCAACTCCTTCTACCACTCACAGCCATCATAATGTCCCTTTTACTTCCTGATAAGTCAACCCACTTTCACCCATCTAAAGATCTACTAGCCTCATCCCATCCACACATGCTTCAAAGAAGACAATCCACGATATACAGGTATACAGGGTGTATCAGACAGCGGTGAAAACTTTCAGGAGAGATAGAGTACACATAGACTATGGGAAATGACATAGCAATGCATGGTCGGAAACGCTTTTCCTGGTGTGATGGTGACGACAAAAAAACATAAAAAAAGTTCATGAATGGGGTGAGAAAATATGCTTATTATTCGGACTACAGCAACAATACTGGGAAGTCTTCGGTTGGTGTATGCGATAGATATCGTGACTTAAATACATATAAATATCAGATCAGATTACGGTGCAAGCCCACACGCAGTTGTTGCTGACATGCTTGCTATGAAGCTTCATTTCGGCTGCCAACAGAGTGGTACAAGTACAGATAAAAGTATTGGGATGGTACACCAGCGATACACCATGGGTGAGTGCCAGTAATGCCTTCCCATACTAACACTAAAAAAAAAAAAGGCTTGCTTTGTAAGAATTTACAAAGAAAGGTTGAAGAAATGGACAGCTGAAACTTTCCAAATGATCTACAGTTTACCTATTGTGGGACATCTTTTAATTCCATCATACACCCTGCATTCAGTATTTATTAAAAATAATGATCTAAACATAAATTACAATATAGTCTTAATACAATTTGAAATTCACAGATTAAATTGAACATCTGTTTTGGTGCAACAAAAACATAACAGATAAACATAATTAGTATACAGATAAACATAATTAGATAACTATAACAATGTTATAATGAACTGTAATAATAATACTAAGGAGGTGGGTGTCCATGGGGTTATTTCAGTTACAAAAGGTTATTACAAAGTTCACAAGTTGAGTCATTTCGTACATATTCACAGGATGTTAAAATTCACAAAATTTCTAAGCTGTAGGAAGAGAGTTATTGGATAATTTTTTTTTAAACTTCAGATACTGATGTTTATCTTTAATTAGATATCTTTGGAACGCCAGGGTAGAAAGAAGGAATGGTACATGACCACTGAACCCATTGATATGCATCTGGCATATGGAGCCACTGACTGCAATGGACGAGCGGAATAACGGTTGTACGCCCAACATTACCCCAGGAGGCAAACTTCCAGTCCCACCTTCTTTGCATGCTTGCACCAGAGATTGTACGAAAGCAGATCCTTCCTCATCTTGGACACACAGCAACGTGAGCAAAGAGTGAGTGTTGGCGTTGGAGCAGTCGCAAAAGCATATTTTGCTTTAAATAAATGTCAGGACTAATATAAAAATAAAACTAATCTTTATTTCATGACTTTGAATAAAATAAACTAGGCTGTAACAGTAGCATGTACATTTAAAAACAACAAAAGAGAAAAAAACCAGCAAACTCCTTTGCACTCATGAATTTTAAGTTCCTATACAACATCAGCCGATTTGCCGATACTATTTCATCGGCCAATCAGTGGCAACAACATTAGTTAATCGCCGACTGGCCTCTGAACTAAATTTGCATGAGGAAAACAACAGAACATTAAGTCAACAGTGACCAGTTTTTCCTCATGCAAAAAAAAAAAAAAAAAAAAAAAAAAAAAAAAAAAAAAAAAAAACATAACAAAGAATTAACAAAATTCACACTTCGATTCTATAACATGGGCACAAAACTTATTGTTCTAAATTACTATAAATAGTTACACAAAACCTTTTGAAGTCCACAGCAATTACAGCTTTCATAAACAAGTCTGCATTATTTAACTTGGTGGGGATGAATTCAAGATCAAACACTCCACCATTCCCCAGTCTTCTAATAAAGTGATACTATACATCAATACGACTGTTTTCTTTTGGTGATCTAGAAAAATCAATGGCAGATTTGTTATCACAAAGTAGTTTAAATTCTTACGAGTTGAACTTCAAAACTTCATCTTGTAACATTTTTTGTCTACATCAATTCCTTTGCTGCTTTCAATAAAGCAATATAGTCTGCCTCCATGGTGGATAAACATACACATTTTTGTTTAAATGTTTTCTAAATTACCGGTACTTCATTCAAATACAGTATGAATTAACCCATGGACAAACGCTCATCCCTGTACTTGCATAATCAGCATCTGAATAACAAAATCTCTTATATAATCTCTTGAAATTATAGCTCTTTCCGTTCACAAAATCAATTTTATAATAAAATACATTTTTATGAATCCATATAAACTTTGCTTAAATAAGGTCCTTTTTGATATAGCACATCTTTAATCACAGGAAAAAACTTACAAAATGGTAAAATAAATACATAAAAATACAAAATTAGGGTGCCAAGCACAAATGACAATGCAGAGAAAATTGAACTCCATGCAGGAAATCTTCTTTTTACTAGACCAGGGTTCTCAAATGTTTTAGCCTAACACACCTCTTTCACCAATGGTACAAGATTGCTTCCACCATCGCAATCCTGCACCTCTCCTTTCAAAATTCGAAAAATACACATATAAATTCACTGAAATTTAGATTATTATATAGCTTGTCATAACAATTTGTTTTGTAAATTAAACAAAAAGCATAGAAATTGTTGATAAATACCAAAGTTTTAATACAAGTTGAATTTATATTCATAAACTTTAATTAAATACTTATAGATAAATAAAAGGCTGATTGCATTCTTTCCCTGAAGCTATGAAATTCTCAGGGGTGCATTTCCCCCTGTTTGAGAATCCCTGTACTAAACATTTGATGTACAAAAAGATTTTTTGATTAGCCAATAAATGTACTGTTCACATGGCTTTACTTTGTCTTACCTATAAAATGCTCAAAAAATGCATTTAAAAATCACTTTGAGACCTTTGTCAATTTGGTATTGGCACCTAGCCAGTATAATGGTTAATGATGCTGACTGCCATACCAATGGGCCTGGATTTGAATCCCAGAGAAGGCATGGGTGTTTGCAAGTGTATAATGTTTGTGCTGCAAAGGGTCACTCAAAACAGCACACAGTAAGCCAAAAGTCCTCTTGAAAGGGCTGAGAGACCTCACTCTTCTTTCCCTTCCACCTGCCTTTCAAGAAGATTGCACAATGGGGTTTTCTCCCTCAAAAACTCGAGCAAGAATCTTAACAGTTAGTACGATCCAGTGATATCTAAATGAATGCAGAGGTGTTGACCATGTTTCAACCTCTACCTGTTCATTTGCTAAAATTATTCTTGTTTCCAACGCTACTTTAACACATATTATAACAAACACTAAAATTTTTTATGAAGTGTTTTAATAGAAATAAACTGTAATAGTTGGGATAGGTAAAATTGTTCCATTAAGGAAGGTATAATAAAAGTGTATATGGCAGTAAATGCATTCAATTAAAAATTTATTTCAAGTTCACTATTGCCAATCTACTTAATTAATCTAGTTAATAAAAACTCAGAAGTATTTTCATATAACTTAAGCCTCCAATGTAATCTTCACATACTGACAGTAAAAATTGATGGATTTTAGTTTGATGCTATGTAATTGATAAAAGGAAACAAAAAAATTAAATGCAGGAAATTCAAGTTCTTAATGAGGTTATTCCAATTTTGTAGCCAAACATAAGGAGCTCAACGTGTACTGGATTCTTACTAACTCAATCAATAATTACAATAACAAACTGTATAAACCTTGCAATTACTTAACATAAAATGTGGCAAATTCCTTGCTAGGCATCAGATAAACAATTATTCTATACCTCAGTATATGTGACATTAAAAACACTTTTTACAAATTACATACACTGGTGGTTAATTCTTTACAAACTTTAGACGTATCATAAATTACAGACTGATACAAATCAACTAGATACAAAATTAAAACACAAGTTCATTTACTGTTTTAAAAGCCTGCTTTGCTAGATTTCCCTTACTTAATTTGAAAGATAAACTGGAATTTCAGTTTGTTGCAATGTGTTTATTCAGTTAAATTAATTATCGTGAGCACATTAGGTTCAATGCACTTACAGAATTTAAAGGATAAATTAAAAATTTTCAGTCATAAAACTGACAACAGCACTAAAATCTGTTAATTTACTAGCCCTAGCAACTACACTTTTTTTGAAGAGCTAGCAACAGCTCTTAAACTGGCAATTTAATAATTTGTTCTATTGTTATTTAATACAGTGGTAATATAATATAAATTGATGTCAAAGGTGGAAACAGGTGGTAAAGATTACAGGCACTTCTGATGTCAAAATAACATGCTTTACCAAACACAAGCTCTAAACAAATTTAACTCACCCTACTACTTCCATTCATCTGAGAGTTTCTCTGCATCATGATTTCAAATTCTTCATTTATTTTTTGATATTTGGGATCAGATCTTGTAGAAATTGAATACTGCTCCATGTCAGGTTCAGGACTATCACAGCTATTGGAAGAACCTTTATGTTCTTTTTTATTTAGAACCTGAAATACATAAAAAATGAGTACATAAATTCTGTAGCTCAACATTACAGCTTTAAGGGGTTTTAAATTAAACAGTCTTGCTCATAGTAAGTGGTTACAGAATCATCTGTGACACTGAAAGTGAACAAATTAATTACACAAGTTAACTAAAGAGCCAAAAATTTTAATTAGTGCATTAATTACCCTTAGTCATTTAATTTATTTCTGTCCTGTATATCATGGACTACATCAACCATTTAAAAGGAGTCCATTACTGCATTTCTCTATTAACCCATTAGCCGCTGGTGTTGTGTTGACGCAACGGTCAAAATAAATGCGTATATAAATATAATTACCTAAGATGTTTGATGCCAGCAGATGATTTTGTGTAGGGAATATTATGAAGATTATTTCTGTAAAAAAATATTTGCCTTCAACAATCATTTTGTTTATAATAATTAATCTCAAATACTTTGAAGCAAAATTTTGGACGCCGAATTTTCGACCGGGTATTTTCGTTAAAATATTTAACCAAAGAATCGCCGTCTTTTATGAGTGAATCTATTTTTAGTTAAGGTCACCATTTATCAGAACCATTACATCAATGAGATGCTTATATTTGTGTTGCGAAGGAAGGGAAAAAATAGGTGTTGCGCTTGACGCAACGTCAGCAGGAAAACGGGGTAATCAATCTCCTTTTATCACTTCATTCCTTTCGATGTTCTTGGTTCATGTTTCTGGCTGTTTTTTTAAAGTGCCTAGAACGAGGTGTCTTACATTAGAGAAAGAAGCCCTTCAAAGATTTTTGATGATGAAGAAACAGATGATGATAATGTTAATAATGACCAGAATGAAACTGATATTGTTGTTGTTCCCCCAGAAATTGCAGAGGCTAGTGACGAAGAAGAAAGGAATGGACATGTTTTAAATAATGATAATGATATTTTAGCAAATGATACTGCTGGGGAAGTTGAAATTCATGTAAGAAGTCAGTTTCAGCCTTCTAAAAACAGTTATAGTCAAACTAAAAAGTTTAAAAAGCAGAAGACTGAAATCTTGAAGTGGATAAAAAAGGAACTGTTAGTTATGTCTCAGGAAGAACATGAAGAAAGAGATAAAAGAAAAATTATAAAAGACAAATCACAAGGTAAAACTAGTGCACAGATTTTCGATTTTCTTTTTGGTTTAGACATTTACTCTCTTCTTGTTGAACAGTGAACAGACAAATATATACGCTTAGGGGAGGGGGGGGGAAGAGGCCAGAATTTATTGCAACTGAAGCCTATACGAGAAGATTTATTGAAATATTATTGCTTACAGGATATCATTCTTTACCTCATGAAAAAATGCATTTGTCTTTTGATAAGGTCATTTCTGTACCTGTTTGTACCAGAATTGATATCCCGTTTGCAGTACAGAAATATGAAGCAGAATTTGTATTTGATAATAGTCAAATTGACAATACTGATAAATTATATGAGGTGAGACCGTATCTAAACTTACTAAATATCACCACTTTTTACTACTGGAAATATAAAGTCTCTTTTAAATTTCAGACGCGAGAATGCATTATTCCTTTTGCAAACTCCTATTGAAAGTGTAGAATTAGCCAGAAATAGATCAGCAACAAGAACACCTAGTAAATTCAGCATTCAAAAGCCACTGCATGGAGATGGTAGACATTTTATCGTAAAGTCTGTTGATAACAAAAGACTTTGTTGTAAAGAGTACCATAGCCAGACTGTTTATAGATGCAAAGTATGTAATGTAGCTTTATATCATGATTGTAATCAAGCTTTTTCATGCTTGAATCTTTCAAATGAAATAATCTGTATTTGTAAAAGAAATACAATGTATATTTTAATATTAAATTAATTACAAGTAAAGTTATTTGTAGATTTACAAAATGTTATATAGCTAAAAAGTAATCCTGCGCTCCACTCAAAAGAAACATCACACGAGTACAATCCTACTCACTCAACATTCGTAGTCTTATTCTGCTGACGTTGCACGAACGCAACACTCGCTTTTTCCACATGTAAGAGCATTTTTTTTTATTTTCAATGCAAATTTATGTTATAAATGCTTAATTTAATATTTGTTATTATTTTCATGAGAAAAGAAACATTCCTTTTAATTTTGGCGGTTAATGGGTTAAGAACTACAACGCCTTGGGCTTTAAAGTAAAAATCTAGCTCTTAAGTCTGGGCAAAACTTGAATTGGGTAACCGTATATATATATATATATTATTACTTAAAGCATGCAGGTAAGAATAAAAGGAGTGGTCAACCCAGCACTGCTCCCAAGCTTTGGGCTCCAGATAGGGTGTTTTTTGTTTAAATCCAGAGCTCCCTTGACAACGCTTTGCTAGTATTTCCACATTAGACAGTTCCATACAAATCGAAAAGTGGGACATAAAAAAAAAAAAACATTCATTATTGTATGGATAATAGAAATTTGTATAGTTTAGTGACATAACTTGCAAGAGCGATTTTGCAGTATCTTTAAAATTGTATGTCTTTTGATACCCTTGATAGAGTACTCGTTACTTTTATTTTATGTTCCAAACACCAAAATATTTTAAATAAAATATGTGTTTGGTCATCCACACATTATTATTTTATTTTTATATAACTGAAAAATAATCACTTTTGGTTTAAATTTTGGGTTAACTAAAAAATTTTAAAAATATAATGTTTAAATGTGAAATGAATAGTTATATTATTTGACGATTATTAAACTGGGTAAAATCGCTAAAAAAAGAGGTATTCAATCAGTGGAGTAGCGAGCATAACTGGCGCCCGGGGCAAAATACCTTTTGGAGCCCTTCTCCCCGGGGAAAAAAAAAAAAAAAAAAAAAAAGTGATATAATGAAAATCTTGTTTGGAGACCATTTGGCGCTCCTCTGTGAGCAGCGCCAGGAGAAAACACCCCCCGCATGCTGTATTGAATGCTCTGCCAAAATATATTAACTAGAAAATTTGATTTTGATAAAGAATGTATCCTAAATGTACTTTCAGTCAGAAGTTTGAAGCTTGATGGCTAGATGTAAATACAAAATTATGCATGTTAAAATATTTGTAATTAGGCACATAGGTCAGGTTAAATTTTGATTAAATAGGGTAAGGCATGCAAGGGTTGCCTGCCTAAAGAAGAGTGATGCCATCGTGGAGGAATTTCAAAGGAAAACCGACTTTGAATGGTATTAAAAATAATGCATGAAATTTTCATTTAAATTATATTTATACATATATCTTACGTTAAAATTTCAGGTATATGCTAAATTATTGTAAATTACATTACTCGAAAAAGATAGTGAATGCTCAGAAATTAGAGAGTTACACAAGCTGAAAATGAGAAATATATATGAATATTTATGCATATACTTACAAAAAACATGCATCTGTCTTTAACAAATTGCGTAATTATTAAGTTATTTATAAATGCATTTAGAAATGAAGGATTTATTCATTCATAAACACATGTGAAAGTTATTGTCAAGAAATCTAGTTATTAAATATATCTAAATTTATAATGATTATATACATATTGCTAACTATACAGCGTGGTCCACTTTGAAATAGTCATAAAAGGAAAACTACTGGACCAAATGTTATCAAACTTGGTAATCAAGTAAAGAAGGTCATGGGAATTTATTTTCCACGGAGGGAAAAAAAAAAAAAAATTCTCAGCCAGAGGAGAAAATGGCGCTATGTGCAATATGGTTAAATGAAATAAGGCCTGAAGACATCGGTTTAAAATGTGTTTAATCATTTCTGAAATGTGTTACAAAGCAGGTTCATCGTGGCATCCACTATTTTCCTAAAGCAAGTTAAATCGTATTACTGCATTCTCAACAGCAGTTCTTAGCACATCAGGAGGAATGCTACAGACATGTCGGTATATTGCATCTTGCAATTCCACCAAATTGTTTAGATTATCAACATAAACAGTGGTGCATTAAGCCAATTACAAGCAAATGTGATTTTGCATAACCCCATAAACAGTTTCATTTTACAAATGATTAAAAACATTTTAACCTATTTCTCATGTCTTAAAGAGTCAAATACAGGCTTTAAAAATCACAAATTAGCAATCTGTAAGAAAATGATTTCTGGAATGCACACACTTTTGCGATCTCACACTTTCTAATCGCTAATTTGTGGTTCCCACGGACAGATTTCTTTGTTACACTGATGGCGCACTTGATTGTTATCATCTTTAAAATGGTAATTTTGTTTAGGTCAATGTTTCTTAAGGGTATATAACATGTTAAACCTGTGTAACAAAAGCTGAAGTTAAATTCCGACCCTTATTTCATTTAGCAATATTGCATACAGAGCCATTTTTCCCCTGGAGAATATATTCCCATGACATCCTTTACATGATTACCAAGTTTGATAACATTTGGTCCAGTAGTTTTCTTGCTATGACCATTTTAAAGCGGAACTTCAATTATAAATACCTTGCATAATAAACTTAACATTTAATTCTAAACACAAATTGAAATTCTGTTGATAAATACATTTATAACCAGGGCTGTGGATTCGAATCGGGCAGATTTTGGGTTAAAAGGAGTCAGAGCTGGAGTCACTAAAAACAGGTTGACTCCGACTCCAGTTTTTGTTGGACAGTTTAAATTTGACATGAAATTAAAATGAATTGAAAAAAATTAAGGACAAGATGAGTTATTATTTTTATTTATGAACTATATACATTAATATATAGTTATTTTCTATTTTATTGTCATATTAATAAATAAATATAAGGGAGGAGGATGGATGTGATATTTGCCATTAGTGATTAAATTGATTCATTAGTTACAAATCTCACTGGTAAATTTAGATAAGCAGCAATAGCAGCAAGAACTCCCAAAATTGATGCCATTCTTAGGAAGCAATCAGGAAAAGGAGCAATTATTGATTAAGCAATGCGATAAGGAAGTACATACTTCCTGATAAAGAGGTTGTTAGAATTAAGAATTTTTTTAGATGTAGATAACCCTAATGTTTCACAAACA